GTGTTGTAGTGATACTATGCGTTGGAGGGTGGGGACAGGGTAAGGATGCCAACCTCCAGGTGGGACCTGGGGATCCCCCGGAAACACAGCTCATTTCCAGACAGCAGAGATCAGTTCCCCTAGAGAAAATGGCTGCTTTGGAAGGTAGACTCTGGCATTATATCCCCCTGAGGTCCCCCCCCCCCAAGCTCCATCCCCAAATTTCCAGGAGGTTCCCAACTCCCCCATCCCCCACCAGTAGCCAGGGTGGACCTGGCAACCCTTGGACAGGGTAGGACACATCATTGCCTTTGGTTAGGACACATCATTGCTTGCAGCGGCCTTAACATTGCGGGATAGAGAGGTGCAGCTCCACACAGATGCCATTTTAGACCCCTCAGTCGTGAGCATAGGTGTGTAATTTATCCCTGATTCTTGGTGTGCAGGTCCAGACCACTGCAGAGTTTCTTCATCTAGAGTTTGAACAGCAGTAGAATCCTACCTTCCTTGACAGGTGTGGTGGTGGGAAGTGCTATCAAGGAGCAGCCGGCTGATGGTGACCCTATAGGGCAGGGGTGGCCAAACTTGCTTCATGCAAGAGCCACATAGAATAAATGTCAAACATCTGAGAGCCGCAAGGCAAATATTACACACACACACGTTTTTATTAACATTAAATGAGACTGCCAGAAATAAAAACCAAAGGGGTAAAGACAGGTATTGATAATGATATTTATTTGTCCTATGATATTTGTCTGAGAGGGAAAGTGAGAGAGCGGTGAAAAGAAAGAATGAAAGAGGTGGAAAGAAGGAGAAGGAGAAAATTGGATTTATACCCCTCCCTTCACTACCCAAAGGAGTCTTAGTGGCTTACAAACTCCTTTCCCTTCCCCTCCCCACAACAGACACCCTGCGAGGTAGGTGGGGCTGAGAGAGCTCTTTTGAGGACTGCCTTTGAGAGAACAGCTCTGAAAGAACTTATGACTGACCCAAGGTCACACCAACAGCTGCATGCGGAGGAGTGGGGAATCAAGCCCAGTTCTCCCAGATTAGAGTCCGCACTGTTAACCACTACACCAAACTGGCTCTCACAGAGAAAGAGAGAGAAACAAAGAAAGCAAATAGATGGGGATGTGAAGGAGGGGGAAGGAAGGAAAAGAGAGGAAGGAAGAAAGGAAGGCGGAAAGAGAAAAAGAGAAAGAAAGGTGGAAAGAACACTGGATGGGGAAGGAAAGACCGATTGGGGAGGCATGCCTCCCCTTCGCTTCCCCAGCTGCCCTGCTGGGAGCCACACAGTATGTGTGAAAGAACCACAGTTCGGCCACCCCTTGCTGTAGGGTTTTCAAGGCAAGAATCGTTCAGAGACGGGTTTGTCACTGCCTGCCTTTGTGCAGCGGTCCTGGACTTCCTCGGTGGCCTTCACATCCAAACAAACTAGCCAGGGCCGACCCCGCTTGGCTTTTGAGATCGGATGAGATCGGGCTAGCCTGGGCCATCGACCGGTGTGGAAGCCCAAATAGACGAGGCATTTCATTGCCAGTGGAGGTATTGCATTATGGGCTCTTGAAATATGATTTTGGTTTGCTTGAAACTGTTCAAAGGGGGGGGGGGGGTGCATGGCAGAAGCTCCTTTCTGGGGAACATTAGTTTTAAAAACAGTTCAGGTATTGGACATGAAAGGGGTCATTGTATGGAGCGAAATGCGGAGGCTGCAGTGAAAACACAGAAAAAGCATGCAGACGACGGGCCACAAAACGAATAGCTTTGGCTTGCCTGATGTGGTCCTTTGTAGGTGCGAATGATGTAAGCCACCTAGCTGTGAACTACGTTGTTTAAGCCAAAAAAAAAAAAGGCTTCAAATCATCTCACCCTGTGTTTTTTTTTTAATGAATTCTCATATTATTGAGGCAGCGCAGAAGTGAAATTCTATGTATGGCTAAGACTTGAGAGTTCTTGCTTTGTAGCTTCCTGGAACAATATTGACATAACAGCACATTTTTCAAGAAAATAACAGCTGAACAGTGGTTGGATCTGTTCCAAGTCGTCTCTGTTCACAAAGTGGAAGCCAGCATTTAGTCGTGAAAGCGGAGGACAGGAAGTGATTTGGGCTGGCTAAGGAAACGTCGAATACCTTTCCAGTGAGCTTTTGGGGGAAGGCCCATTCCCGAGACTGCGTTTACCAAAGTTGTACGTAATGCTGAAACCTAGGGACCACATTCCTATAGACCATTCGTTGTAACCTTCCCCCTCCCACCTTCCCTTCCTGGGCTCTGTAACAGTAAAAACCATTAAACTAAAGCTTGGCAGCACAGTTGGCTTAAATGGCTGTAATGCTGCTTTAACATTTCTAATCTGCTAAATCACTTAAGTGCGAGTCTCTGACTTTGAAGAAAATCCGTCTTATGTAGCAGAGTCTGGGCGATTTCTCACTAGAGCTGCCTCGCAGCGCAGCAGCCATTTGCCTCGACACAAACATGTCAATTTCACACCCGAAGCTGCAGGGCTGTATTTTGACTCTATTTGCTCCACACTTTCGTGATCCTCAAAAACCAGGATCACGAAACTGCGGGGTCATATGCAGCCCCGCAGCTTCGGGTGTGAAATTGACATGTTTGTGTCGAGGTAAACGGCAGCTCTAGTGAGAAATCACCCTCTGACTCTCCAGACGCGTTAACTGACCTTTTCCCTTGATTCTGCTGGGAGGAGGGGGTCACCATTTGTGGGCTCCAGGACATAAACAGCTAAGCTTGTGTCCCTGCATGCATTAGGCCGGCGTTAATGTTCAGAACACCTGTATCATAAAGCTGAGTGCCTGCATCTGGAAAACCTGACTTTGAAGTAGCTCTTGAGGTTGTACACAATAGTGTCATGGGTCTTGTGAGCATAAATTGTACTCTGTGAGCTACTGGCATTAGAGTTGTGAGCAAGCGATTCGGCTGCCGCAGAAATGAGTTTGCTCTGGAGCCATCCTTCCTGAGCGAAGATAAAAATGTGTGAGCCGGAGGCTAAAAAAAAAACCTGAGCCAGCTCACACTAGCTCAGCTTAGGGGGAACACTGGTCTAAGATGGGAAGTGGCTCATGTGGGTTCCTCGTTTGCTGTACCAGGGTGTGGATCTTGCATGTTGGTGGAGGGTCAGATTAAGATCAACATGGAATCTCTCAATCCAGTCTACATTTCTCTTCAACCCAGTTTGTGGGTTCAACCTGTCTGGGAATATTTTCGAATGGGTCGGCTGAATGTTCTTGGGGATATGCAGCATTTTTGCTCCTGGTGAAATGACTGAAGAGGGAATGGCGGCTCCCCTTCAATTACATTCCTTTGTGAGTTGAAGGTTTTGCAGCATAGAACTGGTCTTGCTGTCACAGGGCTTGGATCCACCGGATCATTTCTGCACATTGGAAGTATTTCTGGTTGCGGAATGTGACTTTCTCTCCCTTTTCTGCTGCCACCCCAATTGCCCTCCTCCCCAAGCGGTTATTGGAGGTCCTTCTGCTGGCAGGAGCAGCACCTCGGGGCGTGTGGGCTACAGTGGGAGAGGTGAAGCAAGAAAATCTATTAAAACGCGCTGATAGATGGCCAGAGTCTTTGAATGGAACCGTAGGCTGTTCTCCCGAGGGAATTCTTTGGGTTGGATGCAGGACTGTGAAACTTCCTGACTTTCTCCTCCGGCCAGTAGCTCTTTTCAACCTGACAAAAGTTTATTTGTAGGATCACAGGACCCACATGGAGCCGTGTGGGTCAAAAGGCTGCCGTAAGGAGCGAGGTGAAATCGCTCCCTTCTTCCTTGCCAGTCACCAGAGCTGTGTTCGCAGGAGAGGCAGGAAGGGGGAGCAAATTTGCCCCATCCCCACTGCAGCCTGCCAGTCTGTATAGCTGTAACTTCATGTGGGTCTTTTGACCCCTAGGGTAAACTTTCCTGGGCTGGAAAGGACTGCTGAGGTGTGGGGAGAAAGTTGGGACGATCACTGACCATCTGTGCTGAGTTCATTTTCTGGCAGAGGGTTGGTAGAATAACAGATAACTGGCTGGGATTCCAGCAGTGTGCAAGAGGAACTGCAAACCAGGTGAATGCACCTCTGCTTGCGTAAGATGCTGTGCAACGCCTAGGCGTTTTTCCTCCCTGTATTTTATGGTGCCCAGAAATTGCTTCAACAGTCTCTTGGGCAAGCAGAAAAACGGTTTGGGGATGCTCTGTGGGGTTGTGTAAGGTTTTTTTTCCACCCTTCCAGTTCCACAAGAGCCGTAGCGCATGCAGAAATCTTTCATGGATCTGAGCTGCTTAGTTCATACCTTCTTTTGTGGACGTTGCTGTACCAGCAGAACAATCTGCAGTTGGTTGCACTTGCATGTCCCTGTGTACGTGGCCTACAGTAATTTTGCTACAAAAGCAGATGTGATGAAGTAGTTCTTTTTGGGTTATGAGAGTATGCTCAGACTTTCTAGATACAATACGCATGCCTCCCCAATTGGTCTTTCCTTCCCTATCCAGTGTTCTTTCCACCTTTCTTTCTCCTTCCTTCCTTCCTTCCTTCCTTCCTTCCTTCCTTCCTTCCTTCCTTCCTTCCCCATCTATTTGCTTTCTTTGTTTCTCTCTCTTTCTCTGTTTCTCTGTGAGAGCCAGTTTGGTGTAGTGGTTAAGAGTGCGGAATCTAATCTGGGAGAACTGGGCTTGATTCCCCACTCCTCCGCATACAGCTCCTGGTGTGACCTTGGGTCAGTCATAAGTTCTTTCAGAGCTGTTCTCTCAAAGGCAGTTCCATTGTTGGCCTTTTGCAAATGGTGTGTATATACTGCAGAATGGTGCCGTGCATTTCACTGAATCAGTCTCACAGCCCACGTTCAGGAGTTGTGACTTGGTTTTGGGTCACGATGCACCGTTTGGGAACCACTGCCCTAACGGCATGATCTCTCCACAGTGACCAGGAAAGGAAAATCCCCCATCTTTCCCCCATTGTGTGTTGCTTGTCAAATGGGAATATCGCTTTCTAAAAACCCAACAAATCTTCTCTTACGTTGCAGATTTAATACAGTGCACCAATGAGATGAACGTGAATATCCCGCAGTTGGCGGACAGCTTGTTTGAGAGGACGATGAACAGCAGCTGGGTGGTGGTATTCAAGTCGCTCATCACAACTCACCATCTAATGGTGTATGGCAATGAGGTAACTCTGACCACTGCAGGCCACAAATGTATTGTATGAATGACTTCCTTAGTATGACCTGTATGGTGTTCTCTGTCTGAGAGAATGAACTGGAGTCTGAAGAGCAAACGAAGTTCTGGGTGTTCTTTGGCAAAGCAACGCAATATAAGGCATTAAATGAAGACTCAGTAAGTGTCAGAGATGCTGGTGTCAGAGATGCTGGTGTGGGTTAATAGAAATGTTGGTTATTAAAGACTCGGAAGTCAACAAACATCCTGGCCTGTGCTCTTCTCAATGCCCCCAAGATGGCAAGAGCAACAACATCAGGCGAGTCTTCAGAATCAGTAGCTTCTCTGTAAAGCGATGTTGCTCAAAATACATCACAGCCGCCCGGGCTCTTTTTGTAGCAGGAACTCCTTTGCATATTAGGCCACACATCCCTAATGTAGCCAATCCTCCAAGAGCTTTCAGTAGCCCCTGTAAGAAGAGCTCTGTAAGCTCCTGGAGGATTGGCTACATTAGGGGTGTGTGGCCTAATATGCAAAGGAGTTCCTGCTACAAAAAGAGCCTTATGCGAAAACTGAGTGAGTCCAGAAAACCATGCAGGAAAGAAGTATAATGCTATCTGCCGTGGAGTAAGGTTGTTCCACCCTTGCCGGTACGTAACGAACAAGGCGTATTTCCCTGGCCCTCTAAATGTAAAGCGAAACAAGTCACCTGGTAGCTGCTTTTGTTTGGTGTTCTAATTTATTTCATTTAGAAAAATTGTACACTACTTCTCCAGACGGCTCGCAGACAGAGAAATAAAACAGAAGCAACCAAAGTACGTGGCAGGGTATGAGCTTTTGTGAGTCACCGCTCACTTCTTCAGCATCTGCGGAAGTGAGCAGTGTGACTCACGGAAGCTCCTACCCCACCACATACTTTGTTAGTCTTTTAAGGTGCTGCCGGGTCCTGGCTCTTTTCTTCTGCTACAGACAGACTAACACGGCTCCCCGTCTTGATCTAGAAGCAACCGAGCGAGTAAAATCGGACCACACGGATAAGAAACAATTCAGTAAAACAAGCCAAACCAACCCCCTCCCCAAGCAAGGGCATAAAAGCACATGAAACAGAGTAGTATGAAATGGTGAAGGTTCCCTTGCTTGAAAGCCAGTCGAATCCGACTCTAGGGTTGCGGTGCTCATCTCTGTTTCAAAGCCAAAGAGCCAGCGCTGTCCAAAGACGTTTCCGTGGTCATGTGGCCGGCATGACTAAACACCGAGGCGCACGGAACACTGTTACCTTCCCACTGAAGTGGTACCTATTTATCTACTTGCAGTTTCTTGCTTTCGAACTGCTAGGTTGGCAGGAGCTGGAACTAGAGACGGGAGCTTACTCCGTCATGCGGCACACTCGGGTCTCGAGCTGCTGAATTACCGGCCTTCCACAGCCTGCAGTTCAGCATCTTAAACAGTCCTCACCCTAAGAGCAGAGCATAAAATAAAATAATTTTTAAAAGATGGAACCGCTTGGTTAAAAAGCGTGTGTAAAGAGAAATGTTTTGGCCTGGTGCGTAAAGGAAAGTAAGGTAGGTGTCAGGTGTGAGCCTCAAGAGGGAGAGTGTCACAGGAGGAAGGGGTGTTCCTTGAAGGTGAAATGTGGCTAGGGTCCAAAGAGCCTTACGTACATGTCCAGGTGCTTCCACACGAACATCTCCCCAACTTCCTCCTTTAGGTCGCACCACCTTTTGTGGTCCAGAGGCCACCAGGGTCTCGCTAAGTGAAATAAATGAAGCGGAATTGTACGGAGTCGGGCTTCCAGTCAGAGCACCCCTGCTGTTTTCCTGCTCCGGTCAGCTAGTGCTTGTCAAGGTCTTCCGTCTTCCCACCCATGTCCTGAGACCCTTTTTTTAAAGGAAAAGTGTCATAGATGGAAGCAGATTCAGGTTGGTTCCCGTGTTGCTCTGAAGCAATAGAACAAAGTTTGAGTCCAGGGGCACCTTTAAGACCAACAGAGTTTAATTTGGGGTATAAGCTTCTGTATGCGTGCACACTTCATCAGGTGCACACAGAAGCTTATACCCAGAATTAAACTCTGTTGGTCTTAAAGGTGCCCCTGGACTCAAACTTTGCTTATTGTTTATTTTATCCTTTCAGATTTATATTCCACCCTCCCCACAAGTGGGCAGATCACAAGGCCATTCAGCAGTACAATATAAATACATCCACAGTCAGATTAAAACAGTTAAGGACAGTCATTTAAAACAGAGCACACTATTTGTTTGTGCCCACGATCTCTAAAGCTAGTGTCATTGTTCTGTAGATGGAAGCAGTAGCTTTAGCGGTAAGGCGTGTGACTCTCCCTGGCTTCCTCTTAACGTGAGAGCAGTAAGTAGCAATGGGGCTTTGACTGAAAAAGCAGAATTAGTTCTAAAGCCCTGCTCATCGAGCCGGAATTCCCTGCGTGGAGCGGACTTCTCCTTTTTAAGTTGTCCCGGAAGGCCTAGCACAAGTTGTTGTTTGAGAGCCGGACTGGCTGAACATTTTTGGGAAAGTTGGTAATACGCCATCTGAAAGAGCAGGGATCTCCTCCTCCCTTAAGCCGCCCATGTGGGTTTGATTCAAGTCCCCGTAGCCCCTTAAAGATCAACAAGATTTCCAGGGTATAACGTTTGGAGAGTCAGAGCTGCCAATCTGACAGGAAGGGGCCCTTTGGTTGTCGAAAGCTTGTACCCCTGGAGATTGGGTCGGTCTCCAAGGCGCTACTGGACTCAGATCTTGGTCTTCTGTTGCAGTTCAGTAGGGCCACCCCACTGAAGCAATGTGTGGGGTTTTCCTCAAAATGAAAAAAATTCTAAGAGGGCATAAATCCCGTAGCCTCTGTGTTGATTCTAAAGGATGCCACGCCCCCTATGGAATGGTCCGCCTTTAATTTTCCATGTCTGGGCCATTCGTGACCATTCCTGAGGACCTCTCAGGCACTTCTGATCCTCAATGGTGCCCTCCTAGTGGTTCTGCCAGTTTGGTGTAGTGGTTAAGTGTGCGGACTCTAATCTGGGAGAACCGGGTTTGATTCCCCACTCCTCCACTTGCACCTGCTGATGTGACTTTGGGTCAGTCACAAGCTCTGGCACAGCTGTCCTTGAAAAAGAGCAGTTTGTGTCAGAGTTCTCTCAGCCCCACCCACCTCACTGGGTGTCTGTGGTGGGGAGGGGAATGGAAAAGGAGTTTGTAAGCCGCTCTGAGACACCTTTGGGTAGTGACGGGCGGGGTATAAATCCAATCTCTTCTCTTCCTCTTCTTCTTTCTTTTTTTCTTTTTAAATATTTTCTTTAATCATGTAATATTACAGTTTTTAATAGAAGCTAGTACAATCATCGAAGTATACAGAACTGAAATATTGAACAGTATAATAAAGGTACAAACAATCACTATAATGGAGTATGAACAACTAAACACAGTAAACTAGAAAAACAGATGCAGGGCTGAGAAGGTTGGTGGAACAACACAGATTTAAAACCAGCAGTGGAACAGTGTGTTAGACTAAGGAATAGATACAGTCCCATTCAGTGTGAGGAGAGGAGAGAGAGTTGGCTTCTACTTAAAACATAGTAATCATTTAGAATCATAGAACGTTAGAGTTGGAAGGGACCTTGCAGGTCATCTAGTCCAACCCCCTGCACTCTACTGGAGCATAGCTGAAAGATAGCCCTACAACATACCCGAAAGATGGTCGTCCAGCCTCCGCTTGAAAACGTCCAGTGAAGGAGCATCCACCACCTCCTGAGGCAGTTTGTTCCACTGCTCAACCACTCTTACAGTTAGGAAGTTTCTCCTGATATTTAGCTGGTATCGACTTCCTTGTAATTTCCACCCATTAGATCTAATCTTGCCATCTGGAGCAAGAGAGAACAGATCTGCTCCATCTTCTGCATGACGGCCCGTCAAATACTTGAAGACTGCAATCATGACCCCTCTAAGACTTCTCTTTCCCAGGCTAAACATACCCAACTCCTTCAGCCTTTCCGCATAAGACTTGGATTCTAATTCTCTCACTATCCTGGTTGCCCTCCTCCTGACACGCTCGGGCTTGTCAACATCCTTCCTAAAATTTGAGAGATCAGACCAACACTTGAGCATTAGAGGTTGCCATTTCTCTAGGAGAATGGATTGGTCCAAGGTATCTCTGAATTTATCCAAATTGTATGTAATAAGTCCCATAACTTCAAGTGCCGTTCTTGCAGTGGTGGAATTTGATGTAGACGTCCAATGTGGCTCTGCTTTCTGAAACAATGCTGTATTAACACCTTCACTGTATCTATCTAGTCATGCATTACCATGATGTCTGCCGTCATACTTGGGAAAAGGAAGGGGGGAAAGTCCTGCTTATATTCCTGCTTGACACTTGTTAGTGCTTCCTGCGGATGTCGTGGAAGTTCGCTTCCCGCCAGGGAGGCCATACATTTGGAGAGCTCTGTCCTCCTTCCTCCTTTCCGGCTACTTTACCTTCCAGGGTCTGCCTCTTAGAACAGCTCCTCGCCTTGTGCACTGCTGTTACAGAAACTCCCTTTGTACTGTTCCCTTCATCTTTTCTTTTCCTCTCTTCTTTTTTGGGCTTTGGGGGGGTTTGATCAGTGTAGCGAAAGGAAGTTGTGGCTGCCCAAGGCTGAGGAATGAATGGGTCCGATGTGAGTCATCTGAAGTGTCACTGCCCACGTACTTAACTTGTTGACTGTTTTGGCTAAGCGTCTAAAGTGGCTAGCCTTTAATGCGTATAATCCTATTCATTGTCCTGAGTGGGCAGATGAATTGATCTAGTCTTTAGTTGAAAAGGCATTCAGAGTGTTTTAAACATCTGGGTGGGGTTTTTTTTCAGACTTCCCATCCGCCTCTGATAAGGCTTTTGCAGTATAGCAAACTGTCTTCCAAGATTCATGTTTGACATATGGACTTGCTAGCCTAGGTAGCACGGATAAAAAGCGTGTGTGTGTTACAGAGTAAACTGCTTCAGGCGACCGTCAAAAACTGCAGTGAACTTGCCAAAGCTTTAATTTTTGTGCTGTTACCCCCATTCTGGTATCCTAACTGCTGCTGGACAGTTTACCTGTATCTGTTCATTTGAGCCTGCCGGGTTGTTTTAACCTGAAAACGAGTCCTTCCTTAGGCCTAGTGGGGGAATCTTAACACATGCGTGACAAACATTCTGATCTCATCAAGATGGGCAGCTATGTTAGTCTGTCTGTAGCAGTAGAAAAGAGCAAGAGTCCAGTAACACCTTAAAGACTAACAAAATATATGGCAGGATATGAGCTTTTGTGAGTCAACTTGTGCCTATCCGTGCTTTAGAAAAAGAACTGGGGTTTGAGCTACCAAACACGCAGCTGATGAACCCTGACTTAGAGATGCTTGCCTGCTTTTGTGTTCCCACCTCTTGGCTCCTGAAGTTCGTCTCTACCTTTGCAGTGCAGTGGATGCCCAAAGGCAGAGCGGTAATTCTAGCTGTGGCTTGTCAGTTCAGATACCATGCCGGGTTAAGCTTCCTTAATAATGGTGCGGGGTGGTGGTCTGCGTTGAATCCATGCTGTACTCTGGACTCTCCTCTTCTGGCCCTGCTGGTGGACCTCCTGATGGCACCTGGGTTTTGGTAGGGGTGTGTGTTCGGGTCCACTCGAATGGAAAATATACTTCAAAACACCTTATTGGTATTTTCCAGGTACACTCCGGCTTCTCAAATGTATCCAGGATTTATAGGGAGAACTGGGGGGGGGGGGGGCCCTTGGGGGGGTCCCTGAAAAAATCCCAGATATACTCAGGAATTACTGGCAAAACCAGGCTGCCTAGCAGAGCCCTGGCAGAGCCTGCAGGGAGAGTTCTCCCCTCAGGATCGGTTTCTTGGCGAGCTCTTTTGGGCAGTCTGGGTTAAAGAACCGCAGTTGAGCTGCCTCTCAGCTGTTTTTAGTGGCTTTGTGCAGCTCCAGCTAAATAACTGAATCCTATTCCTTTCAGCGTTTCATCCAGTATCTGGCTTCCAGAAACACGTTGTTTAACTTGAGCAATTTCTTGGACAAAAGTGGATTGCAAGGTAAAATACTTTGCTTCGTCTCAAACGGCCATAGTATCCTCAGTGTTTCTGTAGCAGCGTTATAACTTCAGAACTAAGTTGTTTTCCCAGTATCATCCTTCTGTTGGAGATCTTTCCACTTGCTTTTAGATCTCCGAACCCTGTGAGTCTTCCAGAATAGACTACATTTGAAAGGCTAAGTTTCCACCCTTTCCCCCTCTAAAGGATGCCACATTATTGCCTCTCCTTATGAACACTAGACTTTCTTGTAATGTGTGCTTAAGCTAACTAAAACAGTCCGCAAAGACCAGTCCTTTGAGTTTCCACCCTTCCAAGGGTGGCGGCAGGAAGCAGGTGGAGAGAGGTGTGCCAGTTCTAATTTGGGCATGAGGGAGCAGGAAGGGCTGAGCACAGTTTCTAAAGCTGTTCTTAAGACTCTTATTATAGACATTTTCAGTGCTTTTAATTGCCTCAGAACTAACACTCAAGAATTGAAGCGTAGAGCTTTCTAACGTAATGATTGTTGTACTCAATTTAGCTTTTAATGTTTGCTCATTATCTTTCACGCACAAGCGAGTTAACCGTTTTTTCCTTGCCTTTCCCCTCTAGGGTATGATATGTCAACATTTATCAGACGGTACAGCAGGTATCTGAATGAAAAAGCAGTTTCTTATAGACAAGTAGCGTTTGACTTCACGAAAGTAAAACGAGGGTAAGAGCTTAAAATCTAGCTTGCTGCCTATATGTGTTCTTCCAATAATTTGCTTGGGATTCTTATGTGGCTTTGTAATAACATATTTGTGTTTTTTATTTGACCAGCAGGAAGTACTTAATTCCCAAGACATCTAAGTTCTACTTTGTGGTCAGATGACTTACTCCTCAGTTGCTTTGTGCCTTTGTGTACACATGAGTTTCCTTTTGGGAAAGCAAGTTGCCTTGTAGGTTAGTTTTTTGAAGTGGTGCCAATTGCACTATCCGTTATCCTCAGTTCCACTTTCAAACTCCATTGTGGACTTTCTGCAAAACAATTTTTCTCAAAACACACGTGTCCTCCAAATTCTGGGCTCCCGTACTTTTAAAAAAACTGCTTTTTCAAAATGGGCAGCAGAGACTTTCAATGGATGGTTTGAAGGAAGGAGGTAGCCGACCAGAAGGTACCATGGTTAAGAATGTGTATTCCACGGCCTGCCTAAAATTGTGTTCTGCAGGGATTCCAACACAAAGAGGTTGTAAAAATATTGGTACCTATCTATTAGAATTGGGGGGGGGGCATTTCTAAAAGCTCTCCATCCGTTCCAGCTGTTAAAATGCTTTCGTTCTTATGAAAAACCAGCTCTGCTCTTTCCAGCCAAGCTGGGGAGAAGAAAGGAATGCTATCTGGAATAACTGGATAATACTGCATGTAGGCAGAACTACCATTCCTCTTCTAAGAACATAAGAAGAGCCATGCTGGATCAGTCCATCTAGTCCAGCATCCTGCCTCACACAGTGGCCAACCAGCTCCTCTGGAGGGCCGACAACAGGGCATAGAGGCCGAGGCCTTCCCCCAATGTTGCCCTCCTGGCTTTGTGATGAGATTCAGAGAAGTAGGGCCTCTGAATGTGGAGGCTGTCCTCAGTCAACATGGCCAGCAGCCGTTGATAGACTTGTCCTCCAGTCACAGGGTCACCTGAGCTTGGTAGTTTGCCCTTTGAACGCATTGTTGGTGTGAATATCCCACTTCAGATGCCCTGTAATTCTTCTTCTCTCAGGACGAAATGGCAAATGCTGTCTCTAGTACAGTTACACATGTGCAGTACAGCGGAAGACTAGCCGCTCCCTATAGGCTAGAAGGGTTTAAAAAAAAAAAAAAGCCGAGTTGAAGCAAGTACACAATACTACTTGTTTTATAAGAACGTACTTTAAGAAATGTGTTGAGGGACGTTTAAAAGCCTTTCTTCATTACGAGGCACATTACAGGCTATCTAGAGGGCCTTGTTTATCCGTAAAGGCAGGATGTAAAATAACGATTAGGCTTGCTTCCGGTATGTATCTCCCGAGGTGAAATATCCCCATGTGACTTTCCTTAGATTCAGCACTACATCTTGTGCTGGGAGAAGTTTATGGATCTGACTTTAATGTTCTGTGCAGCCAAAAAAAAAAAAAATGTTGAAAGCAGCAACAGGTAAACTTTGTGAAAATCATAACAAATAACCACAGGAATTATGCCCCTTCTCAGTGTTTTGTGTTTAGATAATAGGTTTTAAAGCAGGGGAAAAGGGTTGTCGAAGAGTTATCTAATGACACTGGAATCAGCAAACGTTATTAAGTTGAAAAGATCTTAATATGCGTGTGTTATATTTTGAGTTGCTTGTCTTCCTAGGTAGAAACTAGTCTGACTTTGGACTTTTGGCGGTGTTTTTGGATTTGCAGCCTTCTGTGAAAACAAAAACCTACCAAAAGATAGATCAAGACGGATAGCCATGTTAACCTCTCTGTAGCAGGTGAAAAGAGGAGGAGTCCAGTAGCACCTTAAAGACTTAACAAAATTTGTGGCAGGGGAGGAGCTTTCATGAGCCACTGATCACTGAAGTGAGACTCATGAAAGCTGCTACCCTGCCCCAAGAGGCGCGACTGGATTCTTGCTCTTTTCTCGTACCAAAAGATGGTTCGGCCTCGTGAACAAATATGCAAGTTTATGCTGAGCAATTTCGTAGGCAACCTGCTCAATAGGTACCAGGGTCCAAATCTCTGTATTGCATTGAAAGCCTCTGGAAGGGGACTAGACCAACTTCTAGAATACAAGACACTCCTTTTAGTAGGGCTTCCCATGATCCTATGGGCTACGCTGTCCATGCATGGACTAGGGGTGTGCAAAAAAAAAAATTCGGCTCGATTCGGATTTGGACAAATCGGGCTGAATCAATTTCCGTGGGCATAAAGACTCCTGCATGTCAATCTCGGCAGTAGGAGTCTATTCAGGAGTCTTTTGCCAGCCCAATGTCAGTTTCAGCCCCATTATATCCTATGGGCCATTGAAGTCAATGGCGAAAACATAGGGTAGATTCTGGGGGCTGGAGGGGAGGGGGTTTGAGGGAGAGGCTCCAAACTCGCAGGTTAGCTGCTGGAGCCTCTCCCCAAGATACCAACCAGGTTTGAAGAACATTGGGGGCCCGTAGAATTGGACCCCCTGGTCCAATGTTCTTCAGACTTGGTTGGTATCTTGGGGAGAGGCTCCAGCAGCTACCCTGCGAGTTTGGAGTCTCTCCCTCAAGCCCCCTCCCCTCCAGCCCCCAGAATATACCTTATGTTTTCGCCATTGACTTCAATGGCCCATAGAATATAATGGGGCCGAATTGCCGGCGAAATTCGGCAGCAAATCGGCAGCAGGTCGATTCAGATCAGAGAATCTGAGTCGGCCAGCAGCAGCCCGAAAAGGGTCCGAATGGGCCATTTTTGGGGGAGCTTTCGGTTCGGACGAACTGAATGTACATCCCTAGCATGGACACAGGCAAAGGGAGGATTCTATGGGAATATTCCATAGGTCAAGAGAGAGTTTGCAGAGATATCGGGACCAACATGGCTGACCACCCAGAGCGAGCAGGGTCATATCACCTTTCCCAATTTTCAGTTTTTCCCATTTCTCCACTTCAGGGCTGATGGAGTGATGAGGACGATGAATACAGAGAAACTCCTAAAAACTGTACCAATTATACAAAACCAAATGGATGCCCTTCTTGATTTCAATGTAAGTGGCTCATTGCGGTGGCTAAACGATGCCGTAAAAAGCTTTCCGTCTTTCTGGACTGAAAGGGACTGTTCTTTCAACTTGGTTTTATTCCCGACTTGCTGAGTGCCCCTGCTCAAGATTACTTAATTTGTAGTAAATTCTGTGGCACTAGTACTGAGATGGAGCATTTACGAAATTACTGCTTTTGCGCCTCCTAGTGTTCCCTCTAAGCTGAGTTAGTGTGAGCTAGCTCAGTTTTTTAGCCTCTGAGTTACACAGTTTTGTCTTAGCTCAGGAAGGGATGGCTCCAGAACAAAGTGATTTCTGCAGGAGTCAGATCGCTCGCTCACAACTTTAATGCCAATAGCTCACAAAGTAGAGTTCTTGCTCACAAGACTCCACAGCTTAGAGGGGAGCATTGGTTGTGTGTATTGTGTATGGTTTCTTTGTGGGTATGTGTGAGCCAGTTTGGTATAGTGGTTAAGTGCACGAACTCTAATCTGGGAGAACCGAGTTTGATTCCCCACTCCTCCACTTGCACCTGGCTGGATGACCTTGGGCAAGCCATAACTCTGGCACAGCTGTTCTTGAAAAAGAGCAGTTTCTGTCAAGAG